GCTCAGAAAGCGGAAGCGGGTTGCCATATTCCTTCCCACATTAATTAGCATATAATTTTCTTTTTTAATCTGCCTTTCCAATATCTTTAGGGGAGATATTGGAAAGGCAGATAAAAAAGAAAATTATATGCTAATTAATGTGGGAAGGAATATGGCAACCCGCTTCCGCTTTCTGAGCCATTCCTATATTAGTTACAGAATGCTCTGCCTTTCATTTGCAAATGGTGTTTTAGCGTGGTTCAGCTTAATAAAAAATACAGGATATATAAGAAAAAAAATTAAAAGATGTTAGACTGACACTCATCTTTGAGTAAGAAATGTTGCAATCTTTCTCAGCCAACTAATTTCTCTGGGGTATGGTGAGCGCTTCCTTTCATGACAGAAGTTGGGGGCATGGGAAGCTTCAGCGGGAAGTGTGGAAAACAGAGGAAATGAGCTGTCAGAGGTACTTGGGGGGAGGGAAGCTGACAGCAGGACCAAATGAAGCAGATGCTTCCCCCACCACCCAGTTCTGAAGTTTGCTTTACTCTCTAACACAATCAGCTAAATAAAATATTTCTCTCAACTGTTATGAATCCTTGAGATACACAGTTGTCTTAGAATCATGTCAATCAAGGAGAATATGCATCATGTAGGGAAAATAGGTCCTTTTCTAGTAATCTACATAACCTGTCCTCCTGGACTCAGTGCAATTTTGTGCCTATTGACGGAGATTGTAAAGGGAGGGGAATGGACTGGAAAGCATGAGGATTTTTGCCACGGCAACCTGTCTGAGCAACCTTCCAGTTAGGAAAAATTCAATTCCCAGAATTCCGCCATCAAGAATAGCTCTTCTTCAGAATTCTAAATTTGACATCCATTTTGGATGTTGCCACGTTTAGTAAATTCTGTGCCAGAACTGAAACCGTTTATTGGCTATGCCCCTACCTGGCTGGGGGAAGAACGGATGAATAGCTGAATAGTTGATATAAATTGCTTCCTTCAGTTGATGATGGAAAGAAAACATTAAATGTTCCACCATACCAAAGTGTTATTATTTAAGGCAAGAGCCAGCAGAAAACCATGCTGCTTTGAAAAAGGGCTGGTTGCATTCCGGATGGCCTATTTTGCCTTAGCAATGCAGCAGAGGAGAGGGTCTGTCTGCAGCACAAGTGGGAGGGGGAGAAGGGAAGTGTGCGGGGAAACGTCTCCTTTGATGCTGGTTTCTGGCAGCAGAAGATCTATGGGAATGCTGCTGTAAGGTCTCCAATCTCACAGGGCAGTGTTTCTCAGCCTTAAGAATTCCCAGCCAGCGTGCTTAAAATGGCTGAAGTTGAGAAACATTGCCGTAGGGCAGTGATGGCGAACCTTTTTGTAAACGTGTGCCAAAATTGTGCGTGCGTGTGCGATAGCGCGCACCCACGTGCCCCACACCCACATAAACCATAAATAATAATAAATAATAAACCATAATGTAATGTGCCCCGCCCACCTGCATATGCACGCACAACCCCCGATGTGTGTGTATGGGGGGGGGAGAGTTTTTACCCT